AGAGACACGGCAGCGGAATTTAAATCACCGCGCCAAAGGGTTAATTGCTGGTAGCCCTTTACCCTCCAGGAAGATTACTGGTACTCATTTCTGTTAGAGGCTGAGTTGACCCCAGGGTCATAGTGAGGCAGGAAGGATTAGGTCAACTGAAAAATACAATGATCTCATTGGGAATTGAAACCGTGACCTTCTGGCTTGTAGCACTGTACCTCAACCAACTACGTTACCATGTGCCCCAAAAGTGCTATAGGCTTCCTAATTACAAGATGATGCGAATCCCATAAAAAGGTGATGCACATGCACTGTCTTCTGCATTTAATTAAAAATTTCCAGACATTTAGTACTGAAAAATTAGTAACAAAAAAATCACTGTACTAAAAATCTGTACCAACAAAACAAAGAAAAATAATTTGTTTTGAGAGTTTCCTCATATAAGTACCACATAAAATTTTGTAATTCCACTGAACTGGCATCACCTCACTAATTATTCCTTGCCATACAAAGGCTGACAAACTTACCCCTTGAACTTTGTTGCAGTTTCCTATTTACAGGAGCATTACTGGCGTTTGTACTGGGAACCTGTTGCACCATTGAGGCTTGTTCTGGAGGAGAAGCCACTTTCATAGCAGTCATGCTGTCAACTGTAGGTGGCGGTTGCTGTACCGAAACCATTGCAGGGGCAGCTACTAGTGTGGGTGAAGTTAGTGAAGGAGCGCCAGCAGCCACTGGAGCTGGAGAAGTGAGCACCTGAGTTGGTGCACTACTAGCTGTGTTCCCACTGCTGGGGAATGGAGCAGGTGGAAGACCACCAGGGGCATGATGACTCAATTTAGTATCAACTCTAGGAGGAAGTGGGCCCTGCTGTGGCTGATCAAGAGGATACCGGGGAGGTTCTGACACAGGAAATGCACCACGTGGACCTGGGAAGAAAAAGAAGACATAGGCAAATGATTAACAATAACACATATAAGACTTTTTAGACAACCAATGTTACTTGTAACTTCTGAATGGACCATTACACTGAACCTTCAGTCACTGGAAACTGATTACTATGATAGTTTATGAAGTATAAAATTGTCTACATATCTGCATCAAAGGGTAGGAACTGTTTACATGCTGAACACAAACAACTGCGAAAATACATTCCTACTATTTCAACAAAGTTTAAAGAGTCACTGCAGTTTCAAAGTAAGATAATGACATACCAAGAATAAGTTCTTTTAATGAAAAATGTTCAAAGAAAAACTAACATACATTGTTATTTAATAATAGAACATGTTACAAAAAATGCTTGAAGTGATAAAACGCACATCTGTGCAGTGCTACCAACACTTAAACAAAATACGATTCCCAAAAGTGCATCCAGGTTGCAGTTCCTGTAACCGTATCTCATTATTAACCCAACAACTCTAACTAATGGAACAGTTCCATACAACATTTGGATAGAACAAGGCATGACTAAGGGAAACTGATCTTTCTTCTCTGCATAGCATTAGGAACTATTTCTTTCAGAAATAATCCAAGCCACTACATATTTCATTGTGACATGACACAAGATGAAATGAGTGGGCCGGGCCATACCCACCCCTACTCCACAGTTATCTGTGATCTACTGTGCATTACCCACAGCTTATGGAACAGTTCTCTGGTTCTGCATAACATGTGACTGGACCAAGGCCCACCTTACACAAATATTCTGAATTCTCAGTATAGCACTGGCTGTCAGATTTTTCCAGAAATAATCCCAGTCAACAGATTTTCCTGCACAAAAAAATCAGAACCATAAAGAGTTAACATATAAAATTTAGGTTTTCACTGAAGTTACTTGTGAAAACTTTCATTAAAAACCTTTATTTCTGGTACACCTTTGTTACTTTCAACTTTGAAGACTCCTTGAACTTCCCTAAGTGGATCTCTCTTAACAAGACTTCAATTTATTCAGCATTACTCGGGTAATATAACCAAAAAGTTTACCATGCTCCTCCTAAATAACGGAATATATATCGCATGACAGAGAAACCTTCAAGAGAACAATGGACTACACTCCAAGAACTAGTCAGAATAAAAATATAAAATACCTAGCGAGAACTTGCCAAGTTTTTATAGACAAAGCAGGATCAGAACACCTATATACAAATGTAACAGCCAACTTCTTTCAGATTCATAGAAAATCTGATGTGCTGTTGTATACGTGGAAGTGTGAGTACTTTTATAATTGTGTACTATATTCTGTATTTCTTGGGCATCTAAAATATTCTTTCCAAGCTGTGGACCGGCTCGCAACCAATGTGTAGTCTAAACAAATATGTGTGTGGTCTCCTCCCCTTCCACACATGTGGAGGACAGAACCCAGACTGACTTGGGTACAAGGGCAGACTGCAGCTTGCAGGTGAAGGCGAGACACAGAGAGAGTCGGATTCCAGTTGTCACAAGGGTTAGACGAGCAGGACTGCGGCCTCACCACTTGTAGGGAATATTTATAGTGCCCACCTAATTCTATGTACTTCATCAAGCATCTCTTATTCTAACAATACAGCACTGTTAAATCCAATTGCTTGCTGTTGTCTTCCCACCTAATCCCAACCCTATACATCGAATCGCTCACCGCTTGGTGAACCTGAGTATCCCTGAAATACTGGGATACAACAGTGCCACTTCTAGTATATGACAAGAGGAATTATGATAGGATCTATAAAGACTGGCAAAGAATACAGCAGAAAAGACAGAAAAAGACACAGATACAAAAGGGACAGCGGAACACAATGAGGATGAGGGAACTGTTATTTTGAAGGAGAAAGAGGAGGGAACGAGGAGAAATGATAATAGTACCAAAAAAAAAAAAAAGAACTATAAAGCAACAAGGGAGAACAGAAGAAAAGACACAAAAACAATAATAAAAAGAAAAATTGGATGATTTTCCTTGTTGCTTTTGGTGGCCTATGTGCTCGTATTACTAGCAAGCTATGTAACAGGAAGAAAATTCTAGGCAACATAGTGACTTAGCCAGGAATTTGTGCTGGCCTGATAACACTGGACAGAATGGTAGGATTCAACAGTTTGGATACACCATCAGGCTCATTAGTTCAAACCTAGTGCCCTCGAAGTCCAAAGTGATATAAGTTACTTGTACGAATGGATGAGCTAGTATGTTTAGTTAAAAACACTGCACTTTTGTTCTTTCAAGGCCCGTTCTGTATAAAATATAATGGTATGTGCAATACTATTAAAAAAACAACCTTCCAAATGAAAAACTTAAATATTTGCATAAGAGAGTTTTGCTCTGAGCTGTTTAAATAATCATTACCTCACCTTTCAAGTGGGAGGCCATTTCCCAAAATTTCATGTTGGCTACGCCCACCTACACAAATTCACCGATCATAACCATTCTCCCATCAAGACAAAACAGAGAATAATAATAACGTATATCATTGTATCACATAATTATACTTGCAACAAAAGTATGCAACAGTGAACTGCAAACCTTATATTTCTGAATCACGAACTATTACATGTTAATAGTATTGAAACACTTAATTATACCTGGACGTAACTGCTGCAGAGGTCTCTTAGAATCCATTACATTGATTTTATTTGGTTCCCTCTGTGGTAGAGGCGGTTGTTGCTGTGGAGGAACAGGCGCATACCCAGCTCCATGTACATGCGAAACAGGGGGAGGCTGATTCAATGATACTACAGGAGTAATAACTCCTGATGATGGTTGAAAGGGAGGTGGATGGAGATATGTTCCACCCCCTGTCCTTGCAGGGGGTGGTGCTTGCTGTTGCGGTTGCTGTTGTGGTATCTGTGGGACAGGTGGCTGCTGCTGAGGCTGACTTTGAGGCTGTTGCGATTGTGATTGCTGTGGTAACGTCGCTTGCTGCTGTGGCTGAGAAGAGGGAGGTGGTGTGGACCGAACCAACTTCCCAGTCTGCAAAATACAAACCAAATGTAAGATACTAGACGCAGTTGCCGACAACACATTATCTAACATGCTTAGTGAATCCAACTAGATGACTATTTTGAAAGATACAACATTGAATTTCCTGATTTTTAATACTTAAACAATGATTTATCATGTTCAAGGTGAAATTACAAAACAGAAGTAGAAAGTCATATTCCATTGGAATGAACATATTTCCGTACACATTCCTTGGAATTTTACATTTCTCAATGGCCTGGATGTTCATTTACTGTAGACAGAATCCACTGTTCCAAAGCCAATCACATCACAGATACCACTGTTGACAATTCATTATATTTCTATATTATATTTAAGCATCCTGTTACATTCCACACTTCTATATGTATAATATAAACTCTGTCATAAATGCAACATTATATTTCATTAGATATTCACCACAGTGAAAAGTGCTTCAAATAAAAATGGTTGTTCTTAATGAGATGAATATTTTACATAATGTACAAATTTTTCTACACACCTCATTTTTTGGGAAAATCAATAAAGTCAAAATTGAACCTCATGAAGATGAGGTTACATTAAAATGATACAAAATAAAATAAAATAAAATAAAATTTGCCCAAAATCTTTTAACGCATGTCCCCCAATGTCAGATATTAACGGAATAGTTTCAGAGAAGATAAGGAAACAAGCTCCTCATCAAGTGCTCATTTCATGAATCTGTAAGATAGCTACCCACAAAAAAAGTTCCAAGTACACTGCACTCTCCATAAGAACTGCCACCTTCTGTGTATGGCAGATGGTACTGTAGAAAGCATAAAATTTCCCTTGCCAACTAGCACAACCATGAGCTCAGTAACGGTCTGCAGGACACAGAGATCCTACTTCCCTGCTTCATGATACTGTTTCAGAACCCCCACAATTTAGTGCTGATCTCCTCAGCAGCCTTTCTTGTCAATGTTCCTATGGCTTTCTCCACACCACTGAGGACATCCCCTACTATATATCAGACTACATGGCATCCATCACATAACACCAAAACATCAATAAAACTCAATTCTAATAACACAAAGGTTGCTATATTTACTGAACACAACACTCATTAGAAAATACTACCTTCCAATATGTTACTGATTTGTCTTCTTGTCTGACTAAAAACATAAGAATTAGAATATACAAAACTATGTTTTGCCTGTATGTATGTACAAAGGTCGGATTAAAATTAGTGGCAACACCTCTATAGTTCTGAAATGACTTTATTACCTAAGGTAAACACACTTACATTCCTTCAATATAATTGCCCCCCCCCATGTGTACCACCTTCTGCCAAATTTGTGGAAGGCATCATACACCATCAGCGCATCCTCTGTTGATGTCCAGCAGTGACTGCCATACAGTACAAATAATCTCCTCTCGTTTGTTGTAACGTGTCCCTTGCAGTGGTTGTTTCATTTTGGCAAACTGATCATAATCACACGAACTCATATCGGGTGAGTATGGCAGATGTTGCAGTAGTTCCCATTGCCAGCGGTGAAGGAGATCCTTGACAGTGTCAGCAGTATGAGCCCTCGCATTGTCATGAAGGATGATGGGGTACATTGCCAACAAGTGTCGTCGCTTTCTTCTGACTGCTGGACAGAGATGATTACGCAGGAAATTGCAGTAGTAAGCAGGGTTTACTGTCTGTTGGGGCACAGTGTGGTGCAGTATCGCTCCATCAATGTCATATGCCACAATGAACATCGCCTGTGTAGGGTGCACTTTCTTTGGACGAGGAGAACCAGGATGCTTCCATTCATTTGATTGTCGCTTCAAGTGCGGTTCATATGAGCGAGCCCAAGTTTCGTCCAGAGTGATGATCCTTCCAAAGAAGTCATCACCTTCTCTCTGGTACCGATCCAACAAGTCCTGTGCAACTGCATAATGTTGCATTGTTGAAACTCGGACATTGTATGGGGTACCCAAAGCGCTGAAATTTTGCGGTATCCAAGATTATCTTGCAGAATGTGGAGCACGGTTTTGTGACATATGCCTACCTCAGCAGCTAACTCCTGCACAGCCCATCGACGATCAAACTCCAGCAAAGAAGCAAGAAGCTGAATTGTGTGGTTGTCAACATGGGGTTATCCTGAATGGCATTCCTCCCTTCATGGAACAATTTCACCTAACTGTGTGATATGGTAAATCAACATCATTCCATGCTTCTCACAGTCCCTGATAACAGTTTTGGGCATTACAACCTCGTGCAACTTCAATTTTTATCCAGGGGCATTGTTCTTGTTTCATAAACATGTTGTTAGGGTGTTCGAACTGGGCTCCTGCACTTCAAGACGATGCACAATGCAACACAATGAAACACAACCAAAGCCACTCACTGCACTACTTCAACTGAACTTCTCACTGCACTACTTCAACTGAACTTCTGCTATCAGCTACAGATGACACTAGTACCACCTGATGCACATATTTCATGTTACAGCAGTGTTGCCACTACTTTTTATCCAACTTTGGTATGTAAGGGGTGGGCCACAAAAACCAGCCCCCGCACTGCGACCTTCGATGATCTGTTATAGTTTTCCCTGTGGCTCTGTATGGATGTGAAACTTGATCTCTGACATTAAGAGAGGAATATACACTGAGGGTGTTTGAAAACAGGGTGCTGAGGAGAATATTTGGACTGAAGAAAGATGATGTGATGGGAAGTTGAAGAAATCTGCATGATGAGGAGCCTCATAACTTGTATTCTTTGCCAAGTACAATGAGAATGACCAAGTCAATAATGATGAGATGGGCATGGCATGTATCATGAATGGGGTTGAAGACGAATGCACATAGGATATTGGTGGGATATAGGTGGGTGAATAATATTAAAATGAATCTTGGATAGATAGGATGGGGTAGTATGGACTAGATTGAACTGGTTCAGGATAGGGTCTAGCAGACGGCTCTTGTGAACACAGTCATGAACCTTCAGGTTCCATAAAATGCTGTGAAGTTCTTGAATAGCTGCAAAACTGGTGGTGTCTCAAGAAGGGCTCAGCTCCATGAAGTTAGTTAGTATGAGACTTAGTGTACTCAGAAAATGAAAATGTACAGGCAATAAGGTATTTTCAGTTTTAATTTTTGCATCCTGTTGTGCTAAAACATTGAGTTATGGGGGCCATCAACCCAACGAAGTAAATTAATTCTAATAAAATCAATGAAACAGTAATATTACTTAACCAACTAAATGAACTCATAGTGTCCTTCTTAGAAGCTAACAGTCACTCAGCTGGTCAAGAAATTCTCTGCATTCTATGGAACTTGAAAATTCAATAAGGTGTTCTCAACAGCCTGCCACAAGTCCTGTCCTGAGCCAAATTAATCCAATCTGCGCCATATTCCTTATCCATTTCACTATTATCCTCCCCTCTACACCTTGGTCTTCCATGTGGCTTTTTCATATAAAAAACAGCTGCAGTGAGTTAGTGAGTGGGCTTAAAGATGCATCAGTGCCAAAGATATTTGTGCACGAACAAGATTTGGGTTAATATATCTTAATCAACCCAGTCTAAAGACTAACAAGAACATAACTGTGAGACTGTAAGAGGGCATGAGTTAAAGATTCTTGGTTAAATGCTAAAGAGATTCAAATAAACATGTAAGATAATTGGCAGGATGTATGCAGGCTGATAAATGAAGTTTAAAACACAGAGTTAAACTCACAACACTAGTGACGAATTTAAAATTACATCAAATGGCACACATGTCACACCACAAAGGGGTCTGACATACAGATTCATTTCAAAACTGTAAAATGATGCAAATAAAACAGTTAAAAGGGAATAAGCAATTCCTCAGGCCACAAGTGAGCCTGTAAATGAGCTCTTAAAACATTGATAACTAAAATACAAACACCAAAAACAAATCACTATAAATGTAAATAAAAGTGTACACGTGTCACTGCAAAGGAATCTGATGAATGGATAAAGCTGCAAAATAAACCACACAGAACTAAGTTGCCAAAAGGAAGTATAAAATTATTCATATCACCTTAGTCTCTGATCCTAGATTCTCCCACATTACATTTCCTTATTAGCATACTTTTTTTAATTACAGCCACAGTAAAACACTGCCTGGAAACTACAGTACTAGGTCAAGATTTGGAACATGAAATGATGACACTTCTGGTGATACTTTAATGCTTGTAGTTGCTAGACAATTGCCATTCACATAAATTACTAAAACTGAGCTTTCCATGGTGGAGCAACATTTACTAGAGGCAACTAGGTAAAGCTACCTGTGGATTTTTTCTCTTGGCAGGTGGGACATATTTTCCTCCTTCTACACTACTGCCACTTCCTGCTGCCAATCCTGCACCTTGGATTTCAGAAGGACGAACCACTGCTGCAAATGCATCCTCTTCATCACCATTTTCAACATCTATACGGGCTTTGTAATTTGGGTTTGCTTCAATCTCACTTGCTATTTTGGCAGCTTTCGCTTCTGCCTCTCTGAAGTAATAAAAACCCAACATATTAAAGAGTCACAGACACATAAACCTATGAAGTTCTTAAATCTGCATTTAAAGACAAAACTTCCAGTTACATTTGAATATCTGAACGGGTTCCTCAATTTACAAAGCCACAAATTTCCATTGGAGCTGGTCAACATTAAGCCAAACAACTGTCACCATACACATTAACTGGGGTAACAAACATTGCCTACATTCACCAGAGAGACAAAAGGTCTATGCATAAGACGTTTCTCCTCAAGAGGCACTGCACCTACCCATGCTGTTGTAATTCTTCTGTGCCAACCCACATACAATCACATAACACTACACATAATAAAACAAGCATACTCATTCTTGTATTTTATATATATTTAGACTGTGAAAGAATGATGCATTTTAAGAAATTTTACTGCAAAAATCAATAAAGCTACATGGAGTTCTCACCATACATAAGAAAAGCTGAAAGTTTTACTTATGTTGTGTTGTACCAAACACACATCAATGCATGAATGCCTCAAACTCAGTAACACTGGAGAGCTAATGGCAGCCAACTGTAAGTTGCTCCAAGAATGGCAACCAACCCATAAAAGGACAGATGTGTATGGTGTAAGGCAGAAACAAAACCTACTACAAGTGCTCAAATGAAGCTTGGCATGACCTATGATGAAACCTCTCCTCCTTGTAATGGATTCTGATATGGGTGAACAGTTCAAAGCTACCTGCACAATAAAGAAAGGAAGAGCACCAGACTGACATCAATGTCACCTTATAAAGTGGAAGGTACAAGGCATGCTTTCATTTGGAATCGAAAAGAAGTCAGTATGAACAGCAAGTCAAAAGTAAAATATCCCTTGATCCATGAAATAGGATATGTCAAGAAACTCTGTGACATTTCATGCACACATAATAAAAACATTTAGAGAAAATTACACAACACATGAAGGATTTCATGTTACAAAATAGGGACCAGAATAATTACTTCTTTTCAGGGCCTGTTGTCTCTGATGAAGCTGTATTTCACATTAACAGATACGTAAGCAGGCACAATTTCTTAGTGGGGGGGGGGGGGGNCATTTTGCTACAGAACACAAAAGAGTGAGTGCCAAAGAGAATGCCTGGTGTGCTGTACTACATAACATGGATACCGGACCTTTTTCTTTTTGCAGAAGAAACCATCATCAATACCTGCTATAGGCTGGAACTGTATGCGGTTCCAAAAATTAACCGTTCAGTGTGGTTTGACGTGTATGTTTCATCAAGGTATTTAAATCGTCTGCGGGGGTTCGACGTCAATGTTTCGTCCAGCTGCACACCTATGTTATAACGCCCATAATAATTGATGGTTTTGCTGTAGATTGTTAGATTTTTCGCTGGCCTGTTGTCAGGAGAACTATATTTAATGAGACACGAGTTTAGGAGCGCTAAGTCATTGTTACATATGCCTGTCTTGCAGCAAATTCCTGTTGCTTCTGGTAGAAGTTTCCTCATTCAAACTGTTATGAATGGCGTGTTTTCTTTCCTATGAAGTTATAAACAGCAGAGATGTGATATGTGCTGTGTTTATAATATCATATTGCCCTGAGCTGGCCACACTAACACACTCAACTGGAATTCTTAGAAGAGGGATGTCCAAATTTTATTCTTGCAAGATCGATTGATTTCGCACAGTACATGGCAGCCAGTTCTTAGAAAAACGCCACAAATTAAGGCAGAACACTGTGGTCACCCCCTGTGACGATACGGGTGTGTGTGGGGGAGGGAAAAGAACTCATTCCTTCATGTATTATCGCTCCAGTTGACTCCATTTTATCGTACTGACCTTGGTGGTCGTTTCGAGGGATGACCATAAATATTTTTTTGAGCCAGCTAAGCTCTGCTTTCGTTCACTACATACCAGCCAGTTCTTAGAATAACTTCATGAATTCTGTGGTCACCCCTACGACGTCTTATGCCGCCAAAATGGATGGAAAATGAAACGCAGAAGCACCAACACTTGTTATGATAACATAAAGGTTGAATTTACTGCAGCTAATCTGGCTAGCGATACGACTCACGGAGAGACATTTCTTCTTGTATTCCCCCCACGGGGAAGAAGGCAAGGCCGCACAGAAGATGTTTGGTTTACGGAAAAAAGAGCCAAATGAGAGATACGCAGTACTGGTGTGGTGAATGTGAGACAGCGCTGTGTATAGTAGAATGCTTCAATGCGTACCATACTCCGCTCAAATTCTGAACCACCTGCTTCCTTTGCCGAGATACCGGGCGCTCATATTATAAGGCAAGGTTATAAAACCATCTTTTAAGATCATTTTAGTGAAAGTTTCATGCTTCAAGGCGTACCATACACTGCTCAAATTCTAAACCAACTGCTTCCATTGCCGAGATACCGGGCGCTCATATTATAAGGCAAGGTTATAAAACCACCTTTTAAGATCATTTTAGTGAAAGTTTCATGTTCCTATCTCATATAATTTAAGAACAATGATGAATAAATCATTTTCGAGCAAAATTTAAATGGACGGCTGAATATATTACCGCCGGAGAGACACGGCAGCGGAATTTAAATGACCGCGCAAAAGGGTTAAGGAAGGAATCTATAAGTCACATTCCAACAAGATGGAGCACCAGCACATTACTGTTTAATCATTAAAAATTTCTGGACAGAATATTTCCAAAATGGTGGACTGAAAGAAGTGGGCCCACTACACAGCCTTGAAGACCTTCTGATTTAACCCCCATGGGCTTAAAATAAGATACAAAATCACAATGTAAGTATACCTAATTTATTTTCTTATATCGATTAAATACTATTACAGCCCTGACAAGTTTTGGTCACAAATGACCAGCTTCAGGGGAGTTACAAGATATTAAGGAACTTTACAGACTGCATACATGAATAAAATATTTAAATTATTTAAGTCACACAATTTTTATAAAACATTAAATTTAGAGCAACATTATTTTTCATATATATGAAAACAAAACACAGACTCCGTGGTTTCAGACCGCAAGCGAACTATACCAACTGAGCGACTGCCACTTGTCGGTGAAGTTAGTGCCAACTTTAGCGGAGAGAGGGTGTCACGTGGTCAGCGCAACGAATCCCCATAGCCATTAATTTTGGGTTCCTAGACTGGATTTCACTGATACAAACCACCGTTATATGCAACTTTCTTGATAACTGATACATCATATACTAGCAAACACATGGACTTCCCCATTGTGGGTACACAAGGATCAGATGAACTCTAAAAAAGCACGTGCCACGACTGCTGACTGCTGAACAAAAACAAGGTCACATGGAAGCATGCTGTGCTTTGAAAGAAGAGTCCCGGCTTTTTTTTTTTTGTTTCCTCGAATGAAAAGAGACATGAAAGGAAAGCATTTTGCTGATGTTGCTGAGGTGAAGGAAAAAACGACGGAGGCGCTGTCAAGCATCTCAAAAGATGAATTTAGACAATGTTTTGAAAAATGGAATAAAAGACTGGACAAGGGTATTAGTGTAAATGGAGAGTACTTTGAAGGGGATTGAAGGTTTGTGCTTAAAATTTGAATAAATAAGTTTAAAAAAAATCGGTTTCTTTTGGGTACCCCCTCGTATATTGATTTTCACCTCAACGGTTTTAAATTGTGACCATTCTCCTTCATACATCCTGCATAATATGTATACAAGATACTGTAACATGTTGAGCTGTTACTATGCGACAACTGTGAAAGAGGCAAATACACAACAGATGTTCCTAGGCAATGATTCGTGAAGAGAGGACTTGTGCGAGTGAAGCTGAAGAAATCTTCGCTGTTAGAAGCTGTGCCAGGGAGCGGCTGGTGAAGATACAACAGGCTTGAAAAGGCTTAGTGGGTGCTGTGGTGATTTTGAATTCTGGAGATTTGAGGTGGCACTGTAACTGCTCATAGTTCTAAGTCATGTGTATAAGTGGGCAATAAATCCATTCAACAATCTAAACCCAGTCTACAGTCACACCATACTACATGACAATATAATTTACTACTTAACATGTGTGGAGAGGGAATTAATCTTAAGGAATAAACTTAACGATACCTCCATTCCACCACAATTTTCCACTTGCCATGGACGAGAAAACAAGTAGGTTTGTCAAACCCTGTACATTATATGTCACAAAACAAAAGCATCTAATTATATACATTCATGAACTTACTTATAATCTTTGGTGTCCTTTTTCTGGAGCTGCAAAGTGTAACCTTCAAGGGATGGTTGGAATGACGACTGTACACCATATACCTGTTCATTCTTTCTGAACATTTCCTCGACATTCCACCCATTCTGCTCAGACAGAAAAACACTTAATAGACACTGCAGCAAGAATATAAAAGCAGACATAATTTTCAAACAGTAAGATCAGCATGAGAAGTATACAACATATTTTAATACTGACACTGACAGCACACGCATTAACATTTGTCCTGTAGTCTCTTCAAAGGTCTCTCTCAGTTCCTTGATCCATGTAGTTCATAATTTTTAAGCTTCTGGGGTACATTTCTTTTTTGCATCTGTTGACACACTGAACCCAACTGGTTGTTACTTTTGTCCCAAAGTTTCATTTTCAATGTGTGTGTCTTCATTTTGCACATGCCCATCCAACCGTATTCTTCCATTCGTTTCATAAATTACATTTCAGCAGCTTAATTTTACTTCATAATACAATGACCATCCAAAGTACTTGAATGTATTAACTTACTGTATGATTTTACTGTTTATCACTACTTTACTTCTTGTGGGTTCTAGGCCACAAAAGACAATGGGTTTAATTTTTCCACTTACGCTGTCATCCCATTATTGCCTATTTATTTATATGGTTTATGAGCTAGTATCTGTAATTAATCTTCCAAATTTCATATCACTGACAATACTGGAATGGCTGACTTATTAGACAGTAGTAGGCTTAGAGTAATGATCAAGGAATGAATCCAGCATAACTACTATGTGTAGTCAGCAAAGATTTTGATTCTGGTTTTTTGTATGTGACACCATATATTCTGATAGATGGTTATAAATATTCAAGCAGAACCTGCTCCCTCCACCATTGCAATAGAAGTGATCTACCCCAAAAATGAACTTGGTGTGTCCCTATGAAACACTGGTAGCTAATCCATAAGATTATGCAGTGTCACACGCCAGAAGACCATATCTTAACATATATCATCATGAGAACCTCAATCTCATAAAGCAGTCACAGTATATTAACACACTATTCACCAAGTTATATGATGCTCGAGATCAAAGTATTAGCCATCAACCACGAACCAATCAACTTTTCATGGACACTTAAATATTCACACAAATCTGAAGTTAATAAATAAAAAGTGCCACTAACCTGGCTTCACAGGCACCATAAACAAAATCTGCTGTAAGAGAGACTCAGATCTAGATACAGTTAAAAGAACAGCTAAAATAACTTAACACTTGGAAGACCATCTAGTATGAGCTCATTTCTATACAGAAGAGTGCATGAAGAGTACTATAAAGCATAACATGTGAGCACTTATTAAAAAATAAAACAGGCTGTTAAGTATGATTCAGTCTGTTACCGAGAATATTTTGGGAACTTACATATACTGATCTTGTACTACATGTATATCCCTGAGACAAATATATACTTAGTATGACCTTGGATTATACTTTTCTTCTGAAATTTCCCCCTCTTCCATGTGGCTCCTTTCAAACTTGATAAAGTGAGTCCTGTGACTACAGAATCATTGGAGCACTAAGCAAGTGCAGCCTGTGCTTGTTCATGAAAGGTAGGGTGTCCTCAAAACCCCCATCTGTGCCAATTCAAGTTCTGTCATATGCGATGATCTACAAAAGTTATTGTGGGTCTCTCTGAAGTATTGTTTTCAAGGTCCTGACACACAATTGTGCTTTAGCTTGTCTGTCAGCAGATGAAGCATTAATTTTGTGGCAATCTGTTACACATTCAGACCTCGCTCAGGCATGATCCTAATGAGACTGCCAGCTCATTGGCCAAGTAGTAGATAGTGACATGTTTGTCCTCATGAACACATTCCTTGATCTGTCTCAAATTATCATCCACTATCCAAGTATGTGGCTGTCCTGCATGCTCAGCATTGCTGAGGTCACTCCACTTCTGAAGTTGGAAAATCAGTTAAAAGTTTTGGTTCTGCTTACTATTTCCCCTCCAGAAGCATCTTTTAACATTTTCTAGGTGTCTATGAGAGTTATGCATAGTGTGAAACACAGTCTGATGCACAGGCACTGTTCTTTGAAAACTGCCATATTTCGCTAAATGCATACAACAGAGAGAATACGCAATCTAACTTAAAAAGGCCTTTCTTCTGAGTAACAAGAACTATAAATTTAAATGAACGGGAATTAACTCAGAATCTATTCTACGAGTACCTCCACCTAGGATTAGGATTTTGTCCTAAGTGCAGTGACAGCAAGTCCTGACATTAACTACCATACAACAGGTACCAGGGGTGTGTAGCTGACCACTCACCTCCGCTGAGTGCCAAGGTCAAGAATGACAGCTATGCCACCACTCCCCACATACATCTTCATGGCTTGGTGATTAATTAAACACAGGGAAAAATTTGCCTTACCTTACCATATATGAACATATGTACTCTATGTACCAGTCTAATATATGTCCATGTACAACACTATCACTTAGGGCCCCCATACACACACAGTTTGGCCTCCAGTTCGGCCTGCACAGTTGAAGACTGAAAGGCAAAACTGATGTGTGTGGTGCGGCCGGCCGGCCAATCGTTTGGACTGTTGGCCTGTGGGAAACCCATCAGTCCGTCAGTTCTACCTGCAGGACCACAGCGCGTGACGTGTGTGACTCAGCATTATAGGCTGGAAGACCGTGATTGTGGCATGAAGCCTGCCGGTTTATCTGCACGTGTATGGGGAAGGAAAGGGAGGGGGGTAAACTGTGAAAGTTTTGCCTCTAAGGTCGATCGGAAGGACAAACTGTGTGTGGGGGGGGACTTATGTTTACATACCAATTCACAAATACTTATCGGCACTTTGTTCTGTTATCAACACCTTCAATTGCCATGATTACAGAGTGACAAGTGAATGACTAGTAAATACAGCAACAAATTTCAGAGGCTTTGGAAGGAAGTGGTCACTGCCTAGTTGAAGGCACAACCCCAGAATTTACCTTGAGGAGTCAAGGGAAAACAGTAAAGACCAAGGTCAGGACAAAGCCTCTGATCTCACCTTTGAATCTGGGACCTCCTGAATACAGGTCAGGTGTCCTAACCACCTAATGACACATGGTGCTTTATACCTGACACAATGGTTTAATGCCTTTCTCTTCAACACCAATTTGTACAGTCTCTTTCAATGATACATATTAATACTTATTGCATTCTTCATTCTCACTTCTATACATTCTACATACATCTATTCATACTATACCTATGTTGACAGGCAACATACACATCAGTGGACCAACAGTTTCTTCTGGCATTCACACTGACCTCCACATAACGAACCACCACATTCAGCTGCACTAGCTACACATCTCACTGTGAATCCCTCGCTGGCCATGATTAAATGTTATTATAACGCAGAATGCTGATCATTTGAATTAATTACTGATAAATGTTATTTGGATAATCAACAATTTTGATAACTGGATTAAATTCCTACCCATGAAAAAACACTATAACAATACTATTATAACAAAATGTACTATAGTACTATAAAAATAAAAAGTAAACACTTTGAAATTGGTGAAATATGAAAATTAATAAACGTGATTATAAATTAACGTTTTTATTTACTTGGAAAATTCCAATGATGATGCTTGTTTAGTAGACGAATACCTTTGTTGTGGTGATTCAGTTAATTATCAATTCCGTTAAATCAGGGTTCTAAAGTAATTCAATCCTTTATTTATTTATGTGCTTACTCAACAGTCCAAATGCCAATTACAAAGCAAGCATGATCAAAGAGACAAACAGTACAAACACACCTAAACACACGACACAAGGCAACTGTACTATTTAGACAACCACCATTCACTTAGAGCAATCATAACAACCATGATGCACTATGTGTGCATGCGTGGGCACACACACACACACTATTCACGAATGCAATGACCATTTTAAAAAAATAATTAAGTAGCACAATTATAATACTGTTGCATGTCACAGTGACTAAGACGCAGGTTTGGATTGGTAACTGTCGACATTAAATCTTCTCAGTTTATTTCCACTAGTCTTTACCTAATAACAGCTCTCTATAATGGCTTTTTCTCTGCCGTGTCTTCACTACACATCTGGTAATGAATCTTAGCAATGGAGAATATTCCAATTCCATTGCTTGCTGGTTAACTCTTCTCAGGTGAACCCTCAACTGATTGTGACTGACGGCCAGTCAGTCAGCAAGTCTTGGTGTCAAGCCCCATCTGGGGTTCATGACCAGATATTAATTATTACTGTTTGACAATTACGGTCTTAATTTTGTGGGGCGCCCTCTCTGATGAGAGGGCAGGTCTGTCTTTTGCATATGTTGCTGGCCCTTGCCAGCGCGGTCTTTCTCAGGTCCAACTTCCTTGGAACTCGCGACCATATTTTACTGTCTCAGATTTGAGACTTCCCTTTTCGTCACCTCCTACGACTTGCAGGGTCACGGTGGAGGTATTTGACCCCACTTTCACATGGTTTCTCCAACTGACTCCTGTAACATTGTCTTCAAGGTAACTCCTCGGCATAGACACTGCAGAAAACAGCCTCTACTGTTGCAGAGACATATTTACCTCGTTGTTGCATAGCAACAGTCGCGGCATGGACCACATAAAAAACCCCATTCCTCTATTGTTGCGTGCATGAATATTGCATACATTATGTAGCAACGGCCAATGTCTACAGAGTTTACAGAGCTAAGGCTCACCAAAGGAAACTGGCAACCGCAATGCAACCACGATTTCCAAGAACTGTTATCAGCCAAAGTTGAACACATGTTACTGAAATGAGCAGCTCAAATTGAGGAAACAGCAACATGTAACACGTGTTCAACTCAGGCTGATAACAGTTCTTGGAAATTGTGGTTGCATTGCAGTTGCCAGTTTTCTTGGTGTGCCCTCGCCCTAACAGTCTCCAAAAGAGGAGGACACGGTCCAGAGCGATAGCAAACCTGAATAAAGAACACTGCATCAAGGTGATAACCTCTCACATAAGGTTTGCAATTTAACTGCTCTCAAGCAAAACTGTAACATATATAGGGAAATAAAAAAATTAAAACAGAAGGCCATCAAAGTCAATTTCATCCCTTCCTTTGGAAAATTCACTTATATCACTGAAAAACAAGCAGTCTTGATAGATCCTATTTTTCCATAACCTTGCTTTAACAATTGAAAGATTCTGGTTGGTCTCCTCCAAGTTTGAAAAAATTAACGTTTTTTTTTTCATTTATTTCAAAATATTTTGTCACCCATATGTGAAACAAGCTATCCAAACACCACTTCAGTTAAAACACAACAGCTCTGCACTCAATAGACTTATTAAGACAAGTCTCTGATTATGTAGGGTTCAGACATATACCTATAAGTGGCAGCACTCACCACAGACTAGTTATTCAGACCTCACAGCACTGTCAGTATCATTACTTGTCAGACCTTACAGGAATGCTGGCTTCATAATTTCTTTGCTTTTCAAAAACTGAAGGGGAATATTTCATTCTGCATAGAAAATCAATGGATGATGAGAAGACAAACTTCATTGCTACATCCAAATGATAAAGTATCAATTCAACTTTCTGAAAAGACCTGCCTTGAAAATGAAGCCGTATAGTCTGCTCAAAGACCGGAAGATAGGACTCTTCATAGTCACAACTATTTCCCATGAGAACTTCAAATCTAACATATTCAACTTTTTGTTACAAACTCTTCACAGCCACTGCAAGAACCTTGAATCCCAAAATATTAAGACTTGCGCACATTTCTGCAGGAATTTCTAGTGTAACACCTACTGGAATTAAAACTTTTCTAAGGCAAAGGATGATAGACTGTTCATCAACTGCAATGACAGTTGCCAACATTCATCCCGACTGTCACAAGATCTTTGTCAGTGGCAATGTCAGCGACATACATGAACATACTCATCTGAGAATACTCTGTTGGTCCAATGATGATCCAGTTCCTGTCAGTGAAATTACAGGTCTCATATCAACAATATATTACTGAGCAAGATGGTTTAGCAATAACGTTCTAGACTTGTTTGCGTGTCTGAACTGAAACACCAGGCATCCTAAGGTACTTCACGGTTTTCATCAGTTTATCCAAGCAAATTAAAGGACAGAACCTTGATTTGGCCATGATAGCTTTCTTTCAAATCCTTTTCACTTCATTATTCACTATTCATCCTACCATTTGATGCTACACAGGCTGAGATACTGACAGCATTGTAAAATAAACCACATGAAACAAAAAAAAAAATTATACTGATCTATCCAATTACAAAAACAAATAAGAAACATCTTTTGGTGATATACGAGTATAACAAGTTCTTCCATGCTGATTCACTAAATCAATTTGAATTCTTAGATGACATGGACTAGGAAGAAAGGAAGTCACTGCACATTCCACGACCAGATTAATGAACCTAAAATTACTCATGAAAGTGAAAGTAATTCTGTCTGAAGTGATGGTCAACAAGTCTACGAAAACCAACAAGGACAAGATACGTGGTAAACAAAGATAGCATTTTCCTAACCATGCTTATGTCATATTCTGATAGCAGACAAAAGTCCTACCAACAGGCTACTAGCCACAGAGTGGTAGCCATTGGTGGGGTTGCTACCTTTAAGCCTCTAAAGAGACCATGTGCCAGCACTTCCTTCAGCACTAACATAAACAGTTATCCTGATGTAAGATGGGTGTCTGGGCCTCTTCAATAAGCAAGGCATGCCAAAGAAAGATAAGGTTGATGAATGTGCAGGAGAGGTTATAGGAGATACATCCTACACTCTTAGCCACAATTTATAGAAAGCAGATGAAAATGGAAAGAACACATAGACAGGATGAGCTCTGACAACATTCCAGAGAGGATATTATGTAACAACTTAACAAAAACGAAGTATAAGAAGACCTCTGAAATGATGGAAGGATTCTGTTTTGCAGTACCAACAACAGACCTCAGTAGGCCTAATACTGGAAGAAATTATAGTTGTTCTATATCATGATGTATGAAAATACAGTTTCAACCTTAAACAATGCAATTAAATCTACGTGTCGGTTACTTACAGCATTGGCTGATTCAAGTTCATAACCATCATCTCCATTGCAACCTGGTCCTATCCATGGTTCCAGTTTCTTTTCTGGAACCTGCCCATTAAATTTGGAAATGGCAGTGTCAGTCTTAAATGTATCTGAAACATAAAGCAAAACAATAATCCCTTGAAGATCTGAGACCTTTCTAACAGAATCAGCCGATTTGACTTTCAAATCTTGTATGTAGGATCTTTTGATTCCCCCAATAATGATGAGGGCCATGCTTACATTTTTCTCTTCTGAAATATTATCACTTCAATGCTACACACTTACATTCGAATTGCTTGAAACTGTGACATTATGGTGATGTTTTCTTCAGCTGTTATTCTGCCTAATGGAATTAGATAAAATGGGCTAAAAATTACAGCCAATGACTAAATGACTTAAAAAGAACATACAACTTAAACACATGACAATATACAATATATATTAATTTTGTGTCCCCTAAGTGTACACAAAATGCACCAACCTCTTGTAGCATATTCAAGGTCAACATCTCGCGCTTCAATGGTAATGATGTCTTGTGGTTTGAAGATAAGTTTCTCAACCACTGTATCAACACTAATTTTGGCTGGGTTAGCCTGATCAACCTTGTGAGCCATCTCAAGCACTACTTCAAAAGAACTTGAGAATGTACGGAACACACCCTCAAAAAGCGAACCATTCAGAGTCTGAACCTAAAATCAAAACAGTTAACATTCATTCATTACAAGCACAGCACATTAAAATAAAACATATGTACATGCTGTATCAATTAACAGGAATGTTTTCTTCTTATTTTGCACTGAGCAATAAATGCACTTAAAATACAAAATGCAAACAATGTGCAATACCCAATTAATTGGTGATAACATTTTCAAGTGTCAGTTACAAGATACTGGGGGTTTGCATTGGTAATTGAATTTATTGGACTCATAAAATGCACCTGCAAGTAATTATAATGTTCTCGCTAATTCTCGCGCTCGACTTCTCACTACAGCACACGCTCACTCCTTCACAGTTCAACTGTGGCAAAGTCAAAGTTACTTTATGACTGGCGGCTTATTGTCAATCAGTTCGTCTTGGTGCCAAGCCCCTTGAGGATCACGACCAGAGATTTTTTTTTGTCTGAACTCTTGCGGTCCTCTAGCATCCTCTCTGATAAGAAGGTGGGTTTGCCTTTCAGAAGTATGCTTGGCCTTTTCTTAAGTGTACATATCACACATAGAACATATTATTGAAAATTCTTCCTTTTGCGCTATATACGAGGGTCGTACTGAAAGTCATGAGCAACAATTTTTTGTGAAGTAACACGCTTTATTACTGACAAACCAAATACACCACCTCAATCTACAGACCCTTCGTTATTTTTCCACATAATTTCCATTTCTTTGTACACATTTCTCCCAGCATTCTGGGACTTTGAAAATGCCCCTTCTGTAAAATTCCGTTCCAGCCATCCGAAGACACTGATGCACTGCTTTCTGAATTGCCTCCCGTCTCAAAACGTTGTCCATGCAGCAGATCCTTCACAAATACGAAAAGATGGTAGTTGGAGGCTGCCAGATCAGGGCTATAGGAGGGGTGTGGAAGAACTTCCCACCCCACCTTTGCAATTGCTTCCAACGTGAGGGGAGCGGCGTGGGGGTGAGCATTGTCATGCAGGATGATGATGTTTCATCCCGGATGTTTATCACGCAATGCACGACGGAGCTTGTGCAGCGTCTGGACATAACGAGCAGCATTGATGGTTTGCCCAGGTTCCAGGAATTCAGCCGGAATAAACTCCTCTGCATCCCAGAAGACTGGCCCATCACCTTCGCAGCTGACGGCACTGTCTTTGCTTTCTTTTTTCATGGAGAATGCAAATGATGCCATTCAATACTGCGCCGTTTCGTTTCAGGCTCGAAATGGTGAAACCAGCTTTCATCACCTGTCACAATACAGAGCAAAAAATCGCCTTCGTGTCGATATCTCTGCTGCAGTTCTGAGGTGATGGCTTTTCGCTGACCTTAGTGGTCTTCGGTCAATAACCGTGGGACCCAATGAGCACAAACTTTCCTACAGCCCAAGCTTTCAATCATCTCCTGTACTGCACTGTGCCCTATTCCAAGTTTTCGGGCTATTGTGTCCACAGTTACATGCCTGTCATCTTGAATGATCTCATCCACTCTTTCCTTGTGGCGTTCAGTTGAGGCTGTTCAAGGACGACCGCTCCGAGGCTCATCTTCGATGCTGGTGTTTCCATCTTTAAAATGTTTCACCCATCTTCAAACAATGTTCGCACCCATGCACACACTTCCATAAGGCCGCTGAAGTCTCTGCTGAATTTCTGCAGCAGGGATTGCCCCTTTCACAAGAAATTCGATGACAGCACGCTGGCGAAACCACATATCGCTGTCAGCTATTTTGTTAGGAGTGATACTGGTCACATGATGCAGGCTATTGACGTCACAAGACGCTCAAGGTTAACACAATAGCTGGTTCCACCTACCACCGTGCTCTCTTTCGTCTGCTGTTCCCAGGTTGCATGCAAAAAAAGTTGCTCATGACTTTCGGTATGACCCACGTATGTAAGTCCTCTGTCTGCCCAGGCTTCGCAAAGCAGATCATCCTATCTTTCTTATCTTATGCTACAATGGCAGCTTAGTCACTTGAATGGTCGTAAGCTTGACCACCGTCAATTTTAAGCCTTTTATATTTTCTGTCTGGCTTCACCGTCTTATACTGTGAACATATTCATTCTCACGATTCTGAATGACTTCTGCTTGCTGCCTGCACATCTGTTATATGATCGTATACATATGGAAGGCTGAGTGCCATGTGCACCTTAGAAATTTCCAATGGCGCGAAGAACCTTGTTTTGCAGGTACTGCAATTTTACGAGACGTGTCTGCCGCTAATTCCCAGACAGGGCAAGCATAAATCATTACTGATGTGATCAGTGCCTTATGGAGGGTAAGTTTAATGTTGGCATTTAAACAATTACTTTTGAATTGGGAGTAGATGTTAATAAATATTCTGAAGGCCGTGGCTTCAATCACTTCTACGTGCAGTCTCCATGTAATCCTGCCAGTAGCAACTAACATATAAACTTAAGAGCTCAGTGATGTCTGCATCATTCCAGGCATGGCCTGGTGACTTACAGACTGCTACAAGTAACACTTCACTATTATCAATTGGTAAGCAAACCCCTGTGGCTTCTATGGAAACAGGAGAATGGTCTACAGGGTTGTGGGGAATGTCTTTTCTCACTGCAATGGCAGTTCCCTTTTTCTTACGGGAAGCGGTCAGCTCGATAAAGGTGGGGTTTGAGATGTGTCTCTGAGAGTAGAGTCACGTCTATATATGAGTCTTGCAACTGTTTACTGAACTGATAGCACTGCCTCCTAATGTCATTTGCATTATATGCTTTGACTCTGAGAAGCCTATGTACTCTAGTAGCCGTTCATTACGTACCATTTCTGTTATGACCATTATTTTGTCTTTTTTCTGATACAGCTTCACTAAGCTCCCTCATGATCTGCTGCACTACAGTGGTGACTTTTAACATGACACTATTAGACCAAGTGCGAGCCTGCGCTGACAGGCCTGTTTATTGAGATTTTCCTGTTGTGGCAAACGCTGCTGCACAGGTTGCCGCATCTTTTCCCATCAGCCTGTGATGCCTGTGGTTGCAGCTGTTATGTGTCTTGACACAGTGCAACTGTGCATGACTGCTCTGGTGAGGTGAACTTAGAGAAGAACATCCTCCCATAGGATCCATTTGAAGCTAGTTCTGCCCTTCCCCTTTGCAGTTTTATCTCCTATCAGGATGCAACTGCAGCACCTCAGCATAGATTCTGCATTTGTCTTTTCAGGGCATTCACTATGCAGGTCACCACTACCATACCACAAACATTAAGAGGGTTTCCTGCAGTTGGCCAAGATATGGCCAGAGTTTCGGCACTTGTAGCACTGAGTAAGGCCGGTCTGAGCTCTGTATAACTACGCCTTGATATTAGCATTGTTAAGGCTATTCGGCTTCAGTATCTCTTGAGAATTCATGTTTGTTGTTAAAGTAACAAGGAACAGAGGGAGGGATTCGATGTAGGTTTGTCCATTGGGTACTGTTTGAGTGGCCGTCATTTTCCTCAAGTTGATGTTGAAGCCTAAGTCTTCAAGGCCACTGGAAATATCTTTTACTGGGTGTCTGGGGGAAAGCGACAGATTACTGCTTTGATAGTTTCTTTAGAATTTGGGGAGAAGGCAAAATGGCAGACACTGTTTTTCTCCAGGTAAGATTTCAAGGCTGAATAGTCTGCCATTTTTTTCTTATGATACAGATTCCATTTCGTGTATTTTGGAACTCATAATCTCATTTGATGTGGTCCTTTAAGTCACTCTGGAGTCGACTGAGGTTTTTGGGTTGAAATCATCACTATTGGTGGCGGCCTACTCTGTTTTCTGGAAGCCTCTTGCTCTGACAGTGTATTCTCTGCTTCACTAGTCTCTGTATCCATGATTAGCATTCTTAGAGGTGTGACGAAGTTGCAAGTTAACAAGCTTTTCGAGCAGCTTGACAGCTGCGGATGTTGGAACTGATTTAGTCGACTTCTTGGCTGCCTGTGAGGTATCATTAGATATTTGTCTCTTGCGTCTCTTTACTGCCTGGAAGTTGTCATCCTGGGCCACTGATTCCACTGAGGTACTGTTCACTGCACCACACTGTCTTGCCTGTGCATTCACCTTCAGGGCAGCCTAAAGTTCACTTAGTGTTACCACGTACATGGCATAAAGAGCGTTAAAAAGCAGCTTCCCATCTAGACCTTTACAAAAGTCTGCTGTTGTTCTCCAGGCTATTCACAACAGATGTCCACTCAGAGCTTCCCTCACTTCAGTTGGTGTGCACCTGGCAAGGTTCTCAATGTCAATGAGTACTTTACATACTTGTTGCACTATAGAAGCTGCTTCTGGGTATTTGCTCATGATGGCACAACATTCAGATTTCAGCGATGCTAGCTTCTATATCCAGTACTTCCAGAATACCAGTACTGGGACATCCACCATCTTGGTGTACACTCAAGTTTACCGCTTGGTGTGTTTTGCACAGCACTGCTTATAACAGCAGCCAGGCAGAAACTTCATCAATACTACCTTGACCACATGAAAATTGGCCGTGAACACACCAAGTAAAGTGGAATACATAAGAACCACTGTGTCCAACACAAGTTTCATTCAAATCACTAAATCCAATCAAGAGCTGGTGCACCTGACTTACTGTCTGACTGAGCTCAGTAGCTCACAAAAACACTCTATTTAACACATATTTCGTTAAAATCACTAAATCCAATCTGTCACGTGTGAGCTAACTCTCAGCCTAACTCTGTTCTGCCTCAACCCTCAATCGCCTTGACTCTGACTCTAACTCAACTGCAGCTACTGGCCTGGGTCCTCGTTATATAGTCTAGGCACGGATTCAATAGAAAAAGCTGCTTCCAACAGTTCCCCCACTGCTGCATGCATAACTGCTGCTGAGGCATGTCCTGCTTATCAGTTGCTGCATAGTAACGGATATCTGTTAAATTGTGTCATCAAGTTTTATTGTGCAGTAACATAGCAACGGACAATTTGTTTCAGCTGTCATGCCACAATACTTTCTCCTTAAGGCTGCTCATCCCAAATAGCCTACAGGTGCGTCACCATTTTTTTATCGGCT